CCCTTTCCCCCCCCCCCCCCCCCCCGCAGGAGCTCAAGAAGCTGCAGGACAGCGACTTATCCGCCAAGACCGACTCCATTCCGCGCGCGCTCCGCCGGTACAACAACAACCGCGTCCTGCGCGCCGCCGCCGTGCAGGGCCTCAGCCGCATCTCGTCCGCCTTTCTCTTCCAGTACCAGCCGCCGCTCGACCTGCAGTGGGGCCTGCCGCCCCGCCTCGCAAACGTCGGCCCGCGCTCGATCATCACGCGCGCATGCCAGGGCTTCCTCCAAAAGGCGCGGCCCGCGAGCCCCCCGCCGCCCCCCCCCCCCCTCTCGGGCGCACACGCACGCCGCAGCTCGACGCTTCGCGCCCGTGGCGGTAGGTGGCCTTCCCGCTGCAGTTCGAGTTCCTCTTCTCCTTCCCTGGCGAGATCAACCCCGAGATCTTCGCCGAGGGGACGCCTGGCGACTTTGGCACTTGGCAGGCGGCGGAGACGGCCAGCGCCGCAGGCCGGCCGGCGGAGGGGCCTCGGCAACGGGGCCAGCCGGAGCGGGAGCTAATCTCCAAGGAGAAGAGTTTGGGCGAGTGGCTCTCGCAGTACTGGTAGTACTCGTAGCGCGCACGCCGCGGCCGGACGACTCGCCGTTGGGGGGGCATGGGAGGGGCTGTGTCGCTTGTCGCACTCTCGTTCTTGTCTGTGAAAGCAGTGTGGCCCGGGAGGGGGTTCTAGGGGTAGACTCATGTGGGACGAGGAGGGTGGGTGCTGTCCGCGGTACTCTCTTGGGGATTGCAACTATTGGACCGAAGGATTCGCCCCGGAGCGCGGCGAGGGCCGGGCGCCGGGCGGAGTCCGGAGACCGGCAGCAAAAGCCAAAAAACTGACCCCTAGGGATTCCGCCGCTCGGGGGTATACCGGAACTGATCGTGAAAACTCATAGCACGTAGTGGTTTCGTCGCGGAGCATAACTATGCTTGGCGACGATAAACCGAAGCGGGAATTCCTGGGGTCAGTTTTTTGCTGCGGCGAGCGCAGCGACCGACCCGCGACCGACGTGTGCGACGACCCCCGGCCGCGCGAGAGCGCAGAGCGGGCCGAGCGTTTCGTTGTGAATGTGATCTCTGGGTGTGAGTCGGGCCCCCTAGACTGAAAATAAAAACAAAATCGAGAAGCAGTCAAAAACAGCCTGCGAGAGCGGCGCGCGCGCGCCGCCTACCTCGTGTGCGGGTCGTGAGTAACCCCAAAGCCCAAACGGCATCCCAAAACGTGTATAATAACAACCGAGACCATCAGAGGCGGATGGGCGCACGCACGCTCCGCGCAGCGCCGCAAAGAAGCTGGCGACGGCAATGCGCTGATGAAGGAGCTCAACCAGTTCGAGGGACGAAGACGACATCGAGGATGTCATGTTGCGCGACGGCGTCATCCATTTCGTCAAGCCACATTCATCGTGATCGTCGCCACCCTCGCCGCCGTCTCGCCTACGTCGCCGCCGTCGCCATCATGGGCCTCGCTGCCGAGACGGTGCTGTTGCATCTGACTCAACTCTCCCACCCCCCTGGCTCCTATGCCGACGTGTCCCGTGCTCCCCCGTCCGCCGATGTCTCTGCTGCCGCCCGGCGGAGCTCTGCAGCGGGCCCTCCTCGCCGCCTTCGCTGCCGCTGCATCGCTGTCGGCTCGTCATTTCTGTCTACGGTCATTGGGGGCTGCAATCGCTGTCTTCTCTCTCTCTCTCTCCCGGGTCAGCTCCAACCTGCCGTGTCGGGACGTCGCCCCCCTTCCCCCCCCTCTCCGCTGATCTGCATGTGCTGCGATTCTCGCCTTGTCCCAGGAGCCAGGTGCGTGCGTGTCTGTACGTAGTGTGGGCCCTGGCCCCCCTCTGTTTTCTGTTTTCTGTTTTTCAAAACGCCCGCCCGCCCGCCACCCCGAGGCGGCTCGGCCCCCCACTCACCCAGAGATCAAAAACGCTCGGCCAGGTTCCGCCGAGCCGCCTCGTGTAACCGGTATCTCGTGGAGAGAGGATGAGAGAGGCGTGGAGGCTGGCGACTCTGGGAGCGTGGAGGTGGAGAGAGCCCCAAGGTCTGGCTCTGCGTGCGGTTTTACGCACGGCTTTAGGCCTTTACCCGGATTACTAAACCCGATTGGTATGGATTGGTGACCCGAGACCCTCCCGGGGGCGCGCTCACATCCTCACAAGGACAAGCGCTCGCGGCTGGAGCGATTGGGAGAGCGCCACTTGGGAGCGCCCCCTCTGTGCGTCTAGCCATCCTTGGATCTTTGCACTTTGGTACGAACTACGATTGGTGAGCGCAGCCGAGCTCACAGTCCTACAAGATGTTAAGATTGCGAGCTGAACCACAATCGGAGGCATGCTGTTAGGATTGCGTGAGCTAAACTGCTCGCAATTCTGGACGCTTTGCTCGGATTGTGAGAGCGCGCGGGGTAGTAGTCGTAGGCGTCCCAGACTCCCACAGGACTCCCAGTCACATTGTGAGCGGAGCTGCTCTTAGTCCTTAGTGTGAGTCCTCGAAGATGGTACTTATGAGAGTGTGTGTGGGCCCCGCGCGTGAACAGCAGCTCTCCTGACCACGGCGCCGCAGGCGCCTGTTGATAGGTCCAGACAGATGATAGCCCTGGATAGGCAATGCATATACGCCTAGTTGGGCCTCGAATCGCCCGACCGCGTCCCGATGCTCGGATTTGTAACGCCGCCGCACCGCGCCGCGGCCGGGGGCCCTCTGGAGGGTTGGCCGCTAGGTTGGCCGAGGATGGCCGTGAGCGTGACGGACCGGGACGAGCTCTGGGTGGTTCAGAGAGAGAGAGATTTTTAAAGACCAACAAGAAATCACGACTCTCACAGTGATTTGGGCTCGGCAGCTTGTTAGCCCTCAGCCGAAGCTGGGGCCGGTCCCGTAGCCGAGAGAGCCCGCGCCGATGAGTTCGACGCGGTCGGGGGGGCCTGCGAAGAGGCCAGCGAGGTGGCGATCGCTGTACTTCAAGGGGGTCATCAAGTGAGAGAGAGAGAGAGAGACCGCGGCTGACATTTCTTCTTGTGGTTCAGTGTGAGTGTATATACTGTAGAGACCAACCATGTGCACAATATCTCTCAATCTAGCTAAGCCTGGGAAGGCGGGTTGTTCATATTTTCAATCGCTCCTCTCTAATTCCAAAAAAAGAAAATCACTCGACAGCCTACCGTGAAGTGCCGAACTTAAGGTAAAGTAGCTTGAGTTAGGTTAGGTGCTTTGCACTGAGTTAGGTACGGGGTAGCAGCAGTTAGGCACGCGGGATTTCTTTTTTGGTCCCGACGGGCCCCTCGCCGGCGCTGACGTGTCCCGGCGCTCTATCCGCTGGTGTGCATTGCTGCTGCGCTGCTCACCTTAGCGGGGACGAGGAGGAGGAGTAGGGCATTTAGTAGCGTAGGTACTCGTACTCGAGCGTAGGTGCGGGTAGCGTAGGAGGGAGATGCCACCCTCAGTGGTGCGCTGCGGGCCGCGGGGCCCGTGTGCCGCTGCCGGTCCGGCTGGACCGAGAGGTGGGTAGCAGGAGTTAGGTACATTAGAACAGGAGTTTGGTAAGAGGAAAAGAGCTCCCTAACTCAAGCTACCTTACCTTAAGTTCGGCACTAGACGGTATTCGGGGCTCTCCTCCTTGAAGAGCCGCCATTCCGCCTTCCCTGCTTCTCTCGCGCCCAACCCAACCCCCCAACCCTCCGACATGAAGAGCATGCTCCGTCCTCGCGTTGCCGACCTGGAGGAATCTACCATGCCTTTGCCGACGCTTTCCTCGCGCAATTCCTTCTCTGGAACCTTTATCAAGCGGGCCTCCTTCTCAGAGCCGCCGCCCGAGCTCTCCTCGTCCAGGCCTCCTGTCACGGTCATGCTTGCTGCGGTCCTGACGGCGATTGCGACAGCGGGAACGTGCGTTTATGCGGTCCGGGCCTCGGCCGTGGCTGCCAGCGAGGTGCGGTCAGACCTCGACCGGCTGCAGAGGAGCGTGGCCGATTTGGTTGCGGCGCAGTCGCGGCAGCGGGAGGTGCTGCAGCAGCAGCTGGCAGCGCTTCAGTCACAGCAGGTGGAGCACCGCAAGGAGCTCGCCGAGCAGAGGAAAGAGATCGCTGGCGCGCCCTCCGCTCTCGCAGCACGCCTCGCGCCGACGCTTGAGAAGATCACGCGCGGGCTGGAGGAGGCTGGAGAGTCCGAGGGCGATGCCGCCTCGGAGTTGGCTCCGATCGGTCGCCTCGTCGACAGCATAGATCAGAAGGTCCTCTCCCTCGACCGGCGCGTCTTCGAGCGCCTCGAGGCGATAGAGGGCCTCGTCCAGCGGACCGGCGCCGACAGCTCCATCGCTGTGGAGCGTGCCGCGCAGGGCGCTGCCGCCGCAACCGCCGCCCGCGCGGAGCGGGGCTGGTCGGTCGGCAGCCGGAGTGAGCAGCAGCCTCAGACCCCGGCCAGCAGCAGCAGCGGGACGGTGCAGGTCACCTTCCGCGTCATGGGCGGCTCGTCGCACACCGGCGCAAAGCTGTACTGGCTCGGCCAGGGGCCGCGCGCGGACGGCAACTACTCCGAGGTGTACTACTCCGAGATCCCTCGGGGGATGCAGAGCGAGGCGACGACCCGGCCGGGCGAGTGCTGGAGAGCGCGCGACGCGGAGGACAACACCCCGCTCCTCGACGCCAAGTTCCTCGACGACGTCTTCTGTGCGACTATCGAGCCGATGCAGGAAGCGATCATCATGTGAGCGACGGGCGCGTGGGTGGCGTGTGGCGCGTGTGGCGTGTGGCGATAGATCGCGTTTGGGGGACAACACCCCAGTGACACTCTCCGCACAGTAGTGACGTCAAATGCGTCCGCCTGGAATACAGAATACTATCGCGGTAATCAGCCTGTCAATCTACAATCACATGACCAATGGCGGGCTCCCGGGCTTGATGCGGACCGGCCAGCTCTCTCGAGGTCGAGCCAGCGGGCCGCACAAGTGTGTAAACGAACACCCAGACCGCAAAAACGAAAAACCGAGACGTCGAACCGAACATACGCGTTATTCTTGCGTGCCGGCGCCCCCGGCCGCGGCCCGGGCCCGACGTGAGAAATACCGTATACGGGAATCCAGTAGGGGATCCACACATCTCTCGTCTCTGCGACAAAGAGGGAGAGAGAGCGATGTGAGAGATGCCCTGGTAAGAGAGTTAGTAGGCTAGAGTCTGTGTCACACAGAGAGAGACCGCACAATTATTTATATGCGAAGAGAGAGCCAAAGGAGGGCGAGGGCCGGAGGCGTGTTCGGTTACGAAGCGAAGGGAGTTGGCCAGCCTGAGCTCCCTCTCGCTACACTGCGCCGACGGCGTCAGGGGCCGGCGGGCAGCTTAGATGCGCGCGATGAGGTCTGGTTCCTGCGAGCTGAACTCCACTCTCTTTCTGGACATCTTTCCTAGCCCCCCGACCTCGTCGAGCGCAGACACGTTGCCATCCACGAGGCGAGCAATGAGAGTCTCCCTTCCCTCCTCGACAGCACCTTGCGGCTGCTCCTTGCGATCGGACTCGATCCCGCTGCTGCACCTGCGGCAGGGAAGGTAGGTGGGCACGTTTTCCAAACCCCACCCCACCCCACTCGGATGCGCACCGTTGGTGGCGGCTCGGGCTGCGGACGCGTCGTTTGCGCTCGGCGTCGATCATAACCATGAGGAGCTGCGCCCGCTCCTTCTCGTCTGGGGTGTATAGGTGCGTGGCCCGGTGAGTCTCGCACGTTTGAGCGGGAGGGAGGGGCCTGGCGTTTAGAGGCTCACGCACTCCCGAGAACCCAGGGGTCCCTCGAGAGGGTACCCATGCGTGGGCGGCGGCGTCTACTCCCCAGGGGGCGGGCATGCCTTTGGCGCACGTTAGAAGCTCCTTGAGAAGGCTCTGCGCGGTGGCGGCGTCACCCTCCATTAGTGCGGACTGCACTCCTGCAGTGGCTGGATGTACCCAGGAAACGTTCGGCAGCACCTGGGGAGGCCTCTCCAGGAAAGCAGGCGTGCTTGCTTTGCCCACCATGCGGCTTGGCCTCGGCTCGACGGGCACACGCACTTCCCGGGTCCGACGCGTCCTCCTGCGTTCAAATGAAAGGATTTCTTTTCTTTTGAGCGGGTGCTTTCGTGTTTCGATGTTTGATATATGAAACAAACGCAAGGCAGACACACACATGGACACGTCGCTGTGGGGCCCATTTTCTTTTTTATGATATCTCCGCGGCGGAGAGAGACGAGACTCGAGAGAGAGAGAGAGAGACTTACAAGAGTCAAGAGAATGGAGGTTGGAACGCACGCTGTAACGTGTTTGATTGTGGTTGTACACCTCTAACATATGCTCTGCTGACCCCTGCTGTCAGTCACCACTCGACAGAGTCACCAGTTGAAGAGGTCGGCTGCGCGCGTCTTGGGCCGCTCAGATGAGTAGGAAAGCTTCGGCAAGAGGATGCGGCCCGCCGAGAGCCCGCCCGAGGAGGGGGTGGGGTGCACCTCGTCCCACTCCCCCAGCTGCGCCTGTGCGTTGACGCGCGCGAGCTCGAGCAGAAGCGCCTGGTCGGTGGAGAAGCGCGCTGAGACAAGTTTGTGCGGACCTCCGGGCGCGCCGCGCCGCGCCTGCGCCGCCGGCACGTTCTCCTCCAGGCCCGACCACGCCTTGAGCACGGCGTCCTGCAGCGCGCGCCCGTACGAGAAGGAGAGCGACCTGGCGGCGGGGTGCAGGCGGCGGGATACAGGCGGCCGGGCCAGCGTGGCGAAGCTGCGGGGCGGGAAGCAAGCCGCGCGCCACGGTGCGTCGGGGTACTCGTGCTGCAGCTGCTGCAGGTTCTGCGTCGCCTCCTCGGCGCCCATGCCGCCCGAGAGGAAGTGCACCCCCGGCACCGCGGGAGGGACGGTCCGCTTGAGCACCTAGCGAAGTATCCAGTAGTAGTAGCAGCAGCAGTAGTAGCAGTAGTACCGCGGGAGGGACGGCCAGTTGACCTTTGCGGTGTGAGTGGCGACGCTCTCGCGCGCAGACTCGCCGAGCGGGGCGTCGAGGCCTGAGAAGTGTTGGACCCGAATCACGAATGCACACTGACCGTGGCTCTGACTGGCCGGGCGAGGCGTCGAGGCCGGGCAGAACCATCGAGGGCTTGAGGAGCATCGCCTGGGTAGCGAGTGAGAAGGGAAGAGTGGCGAGGAGGGTGGGTGCCGCAGCTTGAGCGCCGGGCCGCAAAGGAGGGGGCTGGCGCCGCCGGGAGAGCGAGGGGAGAGCGAGGGGTCGGCTGGCAGGGGTCGGCTGGGCGGTGTGTCCGGCGGAGTGAGAGTCGGCCGGGTTGGCTTTGGGGCGCGGGTGCGCCTCGGGCACGACTTGCGCTTCGTTGATGGCTCGCATCACGTGCGAGAGGACCTGGCGCGCAGAGGTGTGAGAGGAGCGGCAGGTGTGAAGACAGCGAGGTGTGCGGGCGAGGTGCGAAGAGGCGCGCATCAGAGGACTTGGCGAGGAGGGGGAGGGGCGGGGTTGGAGTGCAGAGGCCGGAGGGCCAGAGGGCCAGAGGGCGGGAGATCGCCCGCTCGCTCTCAAACGCCGCCCTTCCAATCGAGTAGTCCCCCGGACCGAGCGTGAGCTCCTGACAAGGAGGCGGCAGACTGGGCCTCGGAGCGATGCGCTCGCGGCGGCGGTGGCGCAAAACGCGGCTGACGCGCCATCTCGCCTAAACCTCGGCTATATCTCGGCTACATCTCGGCTACATCTCGGCTACATCTCGGCTGGATCTCGGCTGGATCTCGGCTATTTCTCAACGCGCCGGCTCGACGATCGGCACCAGCCCGTGCTCCTGGCAGATGGAGGCGTACCTGTAGGCACATGTCCCGGACATGTCCTGGACATGTCCTGGAAGGCACCAGATGGGCACGTACCTCGCGAGCGACTGCGCATTCTCGCGGATGGCGCGGTCGGAAGGCACGCCTATCACTTCTCTCTGCCGAGTAAGGATGCCACCTGCCATTCAATCGACGGCCCGGTCGGAAGACGCGCCCGCGTGTCCAATCTTGAAGACAGCTCGCCACTTGGCAAAGGTGGCGCCTGAGGGGTGCCGAGGAGGCCGCCGGTGAAGGGCCACGCCACCCGCTCCTCCCGTCGCTCCACCAGAGTATCCGCGCGCCGTCCTTCCGGTACTCGCACACCCTGTCGCCTACGGCGGC